TAAGCCTTCCTTAAAGAGACTAAGTGTCTCATTTCTTATCAAAACCAGTCCGAAACAACTCCAACACACCACATACCGATGATGAAACATGAAGAAGTAATAAATGAGGAAAACGGGGCAGTAATACCTAATACGACGGGTCGGTTCGTCACAATATTATAATGGAGAAGTGGAAAATAGTTGAAATTTGGTAATTAGAACAATTTGCTGGAATTGAATAATTTAATTTTTAGTTTCCTGTATAATTTGGTGGAGTGTTATATTGTAAAACCACTATATCCTGTAATTACTACTGGAATAGAATAATGCAGATTTTTTTATCCTATATTCATCCAATTTTTGTTTTCTGTATGTTACACTGGAGTAATATATTGTTAAAGCAGTAAACCCCGTATTTAATACTGGATATGAAAAATCAAATGCAGCATTACTATACATTTATGGTAAAAAGAAGCAGTTGGAATCTCTTGTTAGTGAAGATGAGTCTACAGGAAGACTAGATAAACCTTCTGTTTCAGAAAGGCGCAAGATTAAGAACAAGAAATAATTTTTTGTTCTTTTCAGTAATTGACTACATACTTTTGATTGAAATGCAGATTATTATGCTATATATTATGATAGAATTAAAGACTATAATATTTTTGAATTTTTTTAATGAAGGGATACAAACCATTATATTATAATGAAGAAGTGCAAAATAGTGGAAATCTGGTATCTAAAATAATTAACCGTAATTACATAATTTAATATTTTGTGTCTAGTAATTAACTGTAATTACACTGGAGATTTTTAGTGTAAAACCACTATGTCCTGTATTTAATACTGGATGTCAATACTCCAAATTTCGATGTTAGTATAATTTGAACAATATACTGGAACGAATATAATCCAGTATAATATAATGGAGAAGTGGAAAATAGTGGAAATTATGTAATTAGAACAATTTACTGGAATTAATGAATTTAATATTTAGTGTCCTGTATATTATATTATGGTTGAGTTTTGTTTTGTTCCTGTATATTTTACAGGAATTCTACCGTGTTTAAGCTTGTTGTCCAGTATATTATACTGGAAAACTAGCATCTGTATTCTGTATTTAATACTTAGTGTCCTGTATAATTTACTGGAGTTTTATATTGTAAAACCACTATATCCTGTAATTATTACTGGAAATGAATATTGTTGATTTTTTTATCCTATATTCATCCAATTTTTATTACCTGCTATAGTATATGCGGGAATCGCTACTCATGAAGGAATATAATCCAGTATATTATAATGGAGAAGTGGAAAATAGTGGAAATTTGGTAATTAGAACAATTTGCTTGAATTAAATAATTTAATTTTTAGTTTCCTGTATAATTTGCTGGAGTGTTATATTGTAAAACCACTATATCCTGTAATTACTACTGAAATGGTATAATGCAGATTTTTTTTATCCTATATTCATCCAATTTTTATTACCTCCTATAGTACATGCTGGAATCGCTACTCATGAAGGAATATAATACAGAATATAATAATGAAGAAGTGGAAAATAGTGGAAACTTGGTATCCAGAACAATTTGCTGGAATTAAATAATTTAATATTTAGTGTCCTGTATAATTTACTGGAGTTTTATATTGTACAACCACTATATCCTGTAATTGTTACTGGAAATGAATATTGCTCATTTTTTTATCCTATATTCATCCAATTTTATTACGTCGTATATTATATGCTGGAATCGCTACTCATGAAGGAATATAATCCAGTAT